ACAGGGTTGGGGGGGGGGGGGGGTCATTGCAGATGTCCATTTCTTACAGTGAAAGATCTTGTCAGTTTGTTGCTATTTGAGCTCGTGAAATCCGCTGCTTGCACTGTATGCTTACCGGGAAGCTGAGAATGTTTCTGAGTGTTCTAAAGTCTACTGGGGTAATAATAATAGTTGTCAAGCACATTGACCTGTCTGTAGAGCGTGGATATGCGCTATATAAATGCAGTTGTTATTATTATTGTTATTTTATGTCCATAGCTGCTGTTCCCTTCTTCTTCGGACCCATCTCAAAGTCCGTCTGCTTATTGTTCCAGTTAGATATTGTTGGAGATGTGTGGGGCTGGACCACACAGGTTGTTGAATCTTCCTGTTGCCCTTTTGCTTTCCCTCTTCCTTACTCCTCTCAAGTGTATGGGAATGGCATAGATATTAGATGAGATTTTTTAAAGAACAAACATGAGACACAAGCTTGTGTCACTAGAGATCTCTTTTGGGGGACAGAGGTAAAATACATGTTAATTCAAATGAGAGTACCGGGGACTAAAGCAGGAAACAGCTAGCATCAGATGGGAGCTTTTCATCATTAAGATGGTAAAAGTTTCGCGGCGAACAGCTCTTTGGTGCTACTTTTTAAATTGCTGATATTATAATATATATATATGAGATGACGTTATATTTTGGAGAATTGGGTTGTTGGCGGGTGCTCTGGTGTGGTAAGCTCCTTCTTTCCTGTCAAACCCCTATCATCTTGATCTCATCTCCTACTTTTTTCTGTATGTTACTCTCTTGTACCACATCTATTCTTCGGCACTTAAATGGCCTTATTGTATTGCAAGTGCCTTAAAACTCTTACTAAAATTAAAATCTGTTTGTCTCTCTGGAATATTCTGAAATGATATTATATTCACGAGAATTACTATAGCAAGAGACAGAAAAACAGAGATTAATTCCTCTAATCAGCTGTGTAAATATTGTTGTACTTTGTGCTCCCCAGAGTGGTAGTCCACGTGTGTACATGGATGTGGAGGGCTGGCAGCGTTACCTGCCTCCCCTTAAACGACACAACAGTGAGTCACCAGATTCTTTCCACATTGTTTTGTTTGTTTTTGTAAAGTGTTTTACGGCGCTCGCAACTGCATAGGTCATATGAGCGCGTGGGACACACCTAATATTTTCAGTTGGTAGGAAATTTTGAATTTTGCCCGGGTGGCGGCCGAAGCCTACTCTTATCGATTTTAGATCACCAAGGGATCTTTAACGTGCGCAACTTGCACACGGGCCCTTTGAGATTTTTCGCCCTTTTCCGAGAAGGCTAGGTGTAGATCTTTCCTACCAGAAGATCAGGGGTGTGGCAGAAAGACAGCAGTAAGGAGGAGCCAAGGAGTAGCAGTAGAAAGGCTGCAGAAAGAGTCAGGAGCCCAGAGGAGGGGGCAAAGGAGGTGAGGGGTGGGGGCAGAAAGTGGAAATGAAAGCAGACAACAGAACATTGTTAGAGAGCAGGAAATGAGTTGAAAGAAAACACTTTTAGAGAAGAAAATATTTTGGTCGCTACCCGGAATCGAACCCGGGACCTTTGAATGAGAGGCCAACACCTTAACCTCTAGGCCACGAGAGCCCCCCCACTTTGTTTGTCTTTTTTTCTTCCTTAAATTTCAATGTAAGTGTTTTTAATGCCCCCCATCAAACACATTAGATCATATGGGAGGCCTGGTTCCAACTGTGTAAGAGGGATACAACATCCCAGCAGAAAGACCAAGATTCTTGATAAAATGTGATTCCTCCGCACTTGGGTGTGTGTGTATGGTGGGGGACCTGCTGCTACGCATGTCCTTGTTTCATTCTTATAATAATTGTACTTTCAATGTGTATTTTTTCTTTTTCGACGAAACATTTCGTGAGCACATGAAACCGATCTCACGGATTAAGAAACTGCAATAAAATAAATCTTCAAAATGTTGAATTAATACATTTTAACAGCTAGCTGAGACTTTTATACTTTACTATCTATACTAAAACACCATATCATCCTGGACTTTACTTTTGTCTTTCCTCAGGTACGTTTGTCCCCAAAAAGGACGGTGTGTGTATGGTGGGGGATCTGCTGCTACACATGCCCCTGTGCCTCTACTGCAGCGTGGTTAACGTCGGCTGGAAGGTTTGTTACCTCTTAGACTCTCATGATCTATTTTTAATTTGTTGTAACTGCACATTTGTGGTGACAGTTGAGTCGATAGTGCCGTAAAACACCTATTCAAATAAAAAAACAAAAAAAACAAAATATTTGTGGCGAGTGTTTCTCTTTCCTTTTTACTCTGAAATACTCATCAGTAGTGGAATTTCTCTCAGGGCTATACTTCTCCCTTCGAGACCTAACATTGACAACACACTCTATGAAACATTACAGCAACTGCAGCAAACCTGCACTTATCACTACATGGCATTGAGCAGAATGGCGAAAGTACAGCTGTTGCTGGATCGATAACAACATTAGAATTTCTCTTCTATTTTAACTTTCTTAATTACTTCCAGATATTTTTTCTCCTCTCTTTTCCTTCTTATTTGTCTGTAGATTTTTTTTCTTGACCTTTGTCTGAACATGCTGGTTCCTAATCTATAGAACAAGTCATTTCGTATAGAGTTTTTTGTTGGCTACAAACCTTCGGGGATTGTTACTTTCGGCTGTTATTAAATCAGTACTTCGGTGTCAAAATTTTAAAGTTTCACAATATGTCAAGTTTTTTCAAATGCAGTTCTTTGAATATCTTTTTAAACGACTCTGAATAATCTTATGATTTTGATGAGCAGACAGAGCATGAAGTTTGGTCTAAGTAGCTCTTATGCAGTTGCGAGCGCCGTAAAACCCTCTACAATAAAAAACCCCCAAAAAACAAAACTCAAAACGGCCAAAAATGTTAGACAGAACTTTGTAAATCTGAGGTAGTGAATGGGTGGCCTTATAAAGACAATTTTTACTATTTTGTTATTGCCATTATTGCCGTGATACTGCGTGTCGTAAGAAGCGACTAAAAGTGCATAGGTCTGGTCGCCCGAAAAGTGCCAGTTTGCGGAGGGCCAACTACCCAACCCAGTAAAAAACAGTAAGTTACAGAAACACGGACAAAGACAATTTTTACTATATTGTTATTGCCATTATTATGATACACACCTCTCCCTCCTCCGCCTGCACCCCCTCCTCTTTCTTAGGTGGATGGTCTGAAAGAAGCCCTCGCCGATCCGGAGACGAGGTTGTACCCCCTGGATGCCCTTCCGTGCGAGCTTCTCTCCCCTTTGCTGTACAGGCGGAAGTACATCGCGCGGATCGTGGACTCGATCCAGACGCTCTGTCAGATGGGTGTGGTCACCTTTAGCCCCAAGGGAATCAAGAGAGATTACGAATATGTAAGATTTTAGAAAATACAACTCTTTTTGGGTTTTTGTTTGGTTTTAGTATGAGTTTTACTGCTCTTATAATACAAGCTGGCAATTCTCCTCAACTGTGAATGGCCAGTGTAAGTAGTAGTAGTAGTAGTAATATTACTATTACTATTATTATTATTATTATTATTATTATTATTATTATTATTAATACAAGACATCTTTCCCGCCTACCGCCGGGCACCCGTTCCCGCTTCGATGAAGTGAGGAAAATTCATACAACATTCCTCTAGCAAGGACACAATTTCAGCCCCATGGCAGGGTTCGAACCCATGACCCTTCAGTCACAAAGCTCAAACGGCACCTCTGGTCTTGCTAACTACTCCAAAGCAGTCTTGAACTCTGTACTCCAAATTAGACATCGAGGATATGGAGAGATCTAGATCTAGAGTCTTGCTCTATAAAAAAACTACGCACCAAATACGCACCAAAATGTTGAAAACATCAATACTACGAAGTAAACGTTTTGCGGGTCTAAACGAACTCAACGTGTTGGGGACATGGCTTCACCAAATGTATACAGAAAAAGTCAATACAATAAAGTTTGGCCTGAAGTAGATCTATCCATCGACACCGCGAAGCACACATCCAAACAGAGTTGGATATCGAGATTCTAGATCTGGAAACAGTAGAGGCAGCTGTTTAACGCACACGACGAAGCACGAACCGAAACGGAAGTAGTTCCCAGTACAATATGAAATGGCTAATGGTATGAAAACCATCATACCTGAAAAATCAAAAGGTAGTTTTCGAACTTTGAAAATATGCCCACGTAACCCTTTGTGGCAATTCTTAACTGAATCATATGTGTGTGTGCTTTGAGAAAGGTACCAAAAGTCGCCACAGACCATTTGGAGTTACAGGCTGATAATGACCAAAAAAAATTCACTTTTTGACCAAAATGTTTTTACATAAAAAAGTGATGGTTTCACCATTTTTTTAAACAATGTGTTAAAAGTGTAATCATTGATGTGACATCTAAGTATTTTATTTTGAATAATTTTGAGACTAGGGTATATTTTAAAGCGATAATGAAAACTGCTTTTAGAAGGTGTTAAAATCTATTCTTGAAGCATGTTTTCTCTTCTCCGCTATGTTTTACTATTGAATTCTAACCATGATATTGATGTCAACTGAATACCAAATTGGAAATGAATTTTCCATGAATAAATACATTAGAAACAATTGAATCATCGGGTTTTTCAAGTTTGTATGTGTCCTAAACTTAAACGCTAATTTTCTCAAAATTAGATCTTTATGCCCTACCTAAAAAAATGTGCAATATCTCAAACACTACCTGAGATATCTCAAAAATAAACCCCCCCCACTGTGTTCAGCATTGGATTTCCTATAATGTGCAACCCTTAATTCCAAATGGTCAAAATCCCACTTTTGGTACCTTTCTTTAGGCACACACACATATTTTTGTAGATTTTATGGGCACCTGTGTAAAAAATGTATACTGTCCTCACAAATGGGCTTTGCTCCATTATAATAAGATTATTGTCATGATTAATGTCATTATAATAATTATGATTGTGATTATGATTACGATTATTATTATTATTATTTTTGTTAAAAAAAATTATTATTATTATTATCATCACTAGATCTATTATTATTATTGTTGTAGTTATCAGTATCATTACTATTATTATTATTTATTAATTATTATTACTATTATCGTCATTATTATCCTTATTATTATTATTATAAATTTTTATCATTATTGTAATTATGATTATGATTGTTTCAGCTGACAATCTACCTGCACAAGAAAGCCATGCTGCTCAACACGGAGATGAGCGAGCCGGGGAACCTGATGACGCGATGTCCCGCGGGGAAGACGTTTGAGAAGATCCACTACACGTTCCGGACCATGGAGGACGTGGACAAGTACTGGCAGGACCTCCGCCTCTA